CACACACACACACACACACACACACACACACACACACACACACACACACAAATGCAGTACAGGTGCAATAAAGTGTATGAGTTATTGGAATATAATGTATTTCTATGGGGCTGGGGGATATGTAGGCTTCATAGCAAGCAATACAGTAATCTATAAACCTTTCTATGGATTCTGTACGTTTTACAACATAGAAGGTAACTGCATCATTGGGCACCATGAATATGTAAATAAGCACTTTTCATATTTTGTTGTTTATTATTTACTAAGAACATTGAATAAACATCCTCTGTAATGCAGAAGCCCAGCTAATGTAAGTGGGCTGAGGGGTTATGTAGGGTTCACAGCAAGTCAAATAAATCTTATAAATTCACAAAATGTTACATTCAATATAAAGATAATTCATGAGTTGCCTTATGATGCATATTGTAAGTTTTACAACCAACAAAGTAATTGCATGAATGGTGCAAGAGAATACAAAATAAGTAAATAAAAAAACACACTTATTTTGTCTTCCTATTTGTGTTAATTCATTTGCACACAAAAAAAAAAATTCCTTATAAAGTTTCTTCCCCAGAGAAAAAATCACATAGTAGGCAGATACTTATGAAGACATCTTTGTTACTTCATATTGACAAGCTTTCCACCAATGCTGTACTATATGACCTGAGGAAAACACCGAGTGGTGTTTTATTTGATCATAACATAAACAAATGGTTCTGAGCACAGATGAGTGTTAGTTAAAGAAGTATTGATCTGGCATTTCTTCTGTGATTTAATCAAACCTTTTATTACCACAATAGCTTTTTTCACCTTTTGCATTAAGCTGAGCTCTTTTGGTAATTGGCTGATTATCACCCGGTGTTTCTGAAATGTGGATCCCTTTCCCATGTTCTGCATTCAGTTCATGTAATGAAAAGTACTCCAGGCATAGAGAAACTGTCAGAGGCGAAAGTGATTAATGAGCGTCTGAGATCAAAGTAAAACGCCTCCTGACGGATTGCTGTCAGAAAAAGAATCATTCAATTTATAATTATGATACTTAAAAGCAGTGCATCCAAACTTGACGAAAGATAATAGCTGTTGAACATGTTATGACAGAAAACTAGAAAAAAATAGGAAGAGGACAAAGATGTAAGGAAAATAATTATCTAAAAGTATGAAGAGGTGGTGATAAAAAAAAGAAGTGAATTCTTTGTTTCC